GCAAAAAACTCAAAAATCTTACTTTCTCTCTCTATTTCTCTCTCCTCTTTCCTCGTCGCCACACGCTGCAATCTGATCTGCGCACACACACGTTGCACGCTGCCCAATTTTACCCTTTCTCTCTTAATTACTGATTTGAGCTCAATAGGCCCAATTGTCCAAGCCCACATATGCGCTGGACCCAACACCCAAAGAGCTTGGGCAACAATCAACTCGTCAGCCAGGTGCCTGTAGAGTTCGGAATGTACTATCCAATCTCCAACTGCTTGATCTGTCTTCCAACAACTAGACAAGAAGAATCCCGTATCAATTAGGCAACTACATGAAACTCCAATCGTTGAAGCTCAACGACAACAATCTCAGCGGAACAATTCCCTTTGAACTGGGCAATCTGGTGGACCTTCAGGACACATTCGACAACAGCCAGAACTCGCTAACAGGGGAGATATACCATCTCAATATGGCAAATTGGTTATGCTGCAAAGTCTGAATCTATCGCATAACGATTTGTCTGGACATCTTCCTTCTTCAATAGGTGATATGATTCAGCTTACCGATCATTGATGTATCATACAATGAACTGGAGGGACCTGTCCCTGATTTCCGAGTTTTCAACAAACGCTACAGTGGAGTGGTTTACCCACAACACAGAAGGCTTGTGTGGGGTCGTTAAAAGGTTTGCCGCCGTTTGGTTCCTCAGAAGAGACGACGACGGCAAGCATCAGATACTAATCATATGATTCCGGGTCATATTGGGCAGATCAACACGTCAACGATTTCTTCCCTTGACAATCACAAAATTGATCATTCAAATAGTTGTAAGTTAAATTAAAATGGACAAAAAATAGTTCCGATTCTCAATCGACATTTAATAAATTAAAAAGGAGTTCTGAAGTACTCGAGAAGCAGACATTTTTCTTAATTTAACATAATTCTGTTCTTTAAAGTAAACTTTTCTTTCGTTACTTGAAAAGTAAAGTTTAGTTTCTTTTTTCTCTGAAACAAAAAAAAATTCTAATACAATGGACTTATCTTTGATCGTTTTCATCTACCAGTGGCGCTTGAAATGTTGGAATTATCTATATTAAATGTTTTATTATTTTCTTGAGAATTTGTGAAAGTAATCTAAATCGAATGGAGTATTTTCTTATGAAGTTATGTTATAGTTTTTATTGAGATATTCAAATTGATTAGTATATTGTTACATAAATAATAGATTTCATTTTCGTATCCAAGAGTTAATATCATGTATGTATGTCATTTGATATAATAATTTTTTTAATATATAGTTTTAGAGCGTGCTGCATGCTAGATTCCATCTTCTTCTATTTTCTTCTTGCTTTGGAAAAATGCCCAGTCGATAAGAATTGGATGGCATACAACAGCTGTGAGATGGATGGAATTGCTATCTTGAAAGTGAAGATGGATAGGAAATATCTAAAATATTTGCCTGCTTTTCTTGCCGCATGCTATACTTATGGCATCTCAGCTTCACAAAACTTTGCTTTGTGCCACTTTGTTGCTGCTGCTGCTATTGCGTCCCCGTGCTCTTTTTGTCAAAGCTTCACTCGGATACCAAGGGAGGGCGTTGCTCCACTGGAAAGCCACTCTTAGGAGTCCTCGATCCCTGAGATCTTGGAACCTCAATTCTAGTCCATGCAATTGGACCGGAGTTGCATGCAATTACCCCGTCACAGGTAGAGGGCGTTCGGCGATCACCGAGATACACCTGCCAAAGATGGGCTTGGCAGGGTCACTTGATGCTCTTGACTTCTTGACATTGAGATCGCTCCTTCGTCTCAATCTCTCCTATAATCAGCTCGGTGGAGCAATTCCTCCAGCCATCTCGGCTCTCTCCAGGCTTGTATCTCTTGATCTTACTAGTAATCAGTTCACAAGCAAAATCCCAGTTAGGATGGGCTCCATGAAGAAGCTTTGATTCTTAAGTCTTAGCCAAAATCAATTGATTGGCTCATTCCCTCGATCAGTTGCTAAGTTAAGCAAACTCAGATATCTAGGTGTATTCGATAATCAATTGTCTGGACCTTTATCGACGGAGATCATCAACATTACATACCTAGTGCTGTCAAATAATAGCTTCTCCGGCTATTTACCCCCAGACATATGCAAAGGTGGAGCCCTACAATATCTCATTCTTTACATGAACAACTTCGAAGGTCCCATTCCCACGACCTTGAAAAACTGTACGACACTAAAAAGGGTTCGTCTTGAACACAACCAACTCACCGGAGACGTATCTCAATGTCTTGGAGTGTATCCCCATCTTTATTATATGGATTTGAGCTTCAATCATCTCTCCGGTACACTCTCACCGGACTGGGTAAGATGGCACAATCTGACGCGCTTGAGAATCTCAAATAACAACATCACCGGAGTCATACCCACCGAGTTTGGACAGTTGACGAAACTGCAAGATCTGGACCTCTCTTCCAACTACCTACAAGGAGAGATCCCAAAGAGCTTCGGCAGCTTAACCCTTCTCTACAATCTGAGTTTGGGCAACAACCAACTCGTCGGCCATGTGCCTCCGGAGTTTGGAATGCTGTCCAATCTTGAACTGCTTGATCTCTCATCCAACAACTTGGCAGGAAGAATCCCAGATCAATTAGGCAAGTGCACGAAACTCCGATCGTTGAAGCTTAACAACAACAACTTCAGTGGAACCATTCCTTTGGCCATTGGTAATCTGGTGTACCTCCAAGTCACCTTTGACATCAGCCAGAACTCACTAACAGGGGAGATTCCATTCCAACTCAGCAAATCGGTGATGCTGCAAAGCCTGAATCTATCGCATAATTACTTGTCGGGTCATCTTCCATCTTCCCTAACGTATATGACGAGCTTGTCTACCGTAGATGTATCCTACAATGAACTGGACGGCCCTGTTCCTGATAGCCCAGCTTTCCGAAGAGCCCCGGCAGAGTGGTTTGCCCATAACAATGATCTGTGTGGAGTTGTTCAAGGATTGCCTCCATGTGTTTCACCCGGTACTCCCAACAACAGACGACCGAAGCAAGCGCCACAAAATTGTTATAGGAGCCATCATTACTCCAACAACAAACAACAGACGACCGAAGCAAGCGCTTCCTGTGGCTCGAGTTGCAGATGAAGTAATTGCAGTCTTAACAGCGGCACTAAGTTGTGCCAACAACAGCCCAGAATCGCGCCCAGCGATGAAGCAAGTCTATGAAAATATATGTTCTGTCAAGACACCACAGGGCTGTGGATCTCTTGATGCGCTGAGGCTTTCCGACTTGATGAATGCAGACATATGATCGAACACATGGTCTCCTTTGTTGTTGCCTTCTTTCTTAGGCTCGCAGGGTATTATTTGTATGTACTGTTATGCCGTGTAGGTGGTTCGGACCCTTTGGTTGTGTAGTAGTGTCGTTTTTAGGCAAGTAATAGAAGCCTCATTGGAAACAGGATCTTGAAGCTGTGATGAGGCGTCTATAATAAAGTTGTTGAGATCGATAATTTTGGATGTGTTAATCATAAAATGTTAATTGATTATAGTCTAAAAATATTTATTTCATCTTATAGAAAAAATATTATTGATCAATTATCATCCACACGTGGTATATACGCGGCACCAAGTTGGCGTAGGGGAGACAAGATTTACCCTTTTGTTTTGCTTATGTGGATATAAGTCCAAAGTAGACGGTTACTAACTATCTTTTCTTTTTTGCTGTCTATATGTACAAGAGTCTAAGAGGGGTTGTTGAAAGTAGTTACGGACTGTCCCCTCAAAGAATATTCTTTAAAACATTTTATCCCTTTTTTATCTATTTAAAAGTCTATCAATGGCACAAGAATTGATGTCAATCAACTTTTTATTTTCAGCTCACATCAAGGCTAACTTGAGCATTAGAATGATGAGGTTAAGAAACTCACTCACAATCTCGATTTTCATATAAGTCATCATCAGAGCATAGGATCATACCCACATCAACTTCCAAGACATCCAACGTCACCTCGACAGCACCTCATCATCCTTGTATATTTATAATTGAATCATGTTGGACTGATCTCAATATCGATGATATTTTCTTCTAAAACCATCCAACATAATATATACACGGATGTTTTGATTTTCACTTATGCTTTTGATATCAAAGCTAGCCAATCAATGTAAGTGTATCAGATGGCTTATGTGAAGTCGTCATCGAACAAACACTTCAGTGCCGCTTTATTTTTGTTTGCTGTAGAACTTGCTTATTTGATGAGGGTGGATGAGAAATGAGATGTATGGCCTAACTTAAATCGTATACCTTTGGTCCCATGGAAATATGGTCCATATGTCAAGGCCATATGTCAGGAAGATGATATAGACATGCTTACACTGCCATATGTCAAGGCAATATGGTCCCATGGAAATCTTGACTCGCCCTTTCAATCTCATTCATATTTTGGCAGGATTGACTTGACTTGACTTTAGGTATACAAATTAATATGATTGACTTGACTTGACTTGACTTGAGGTATACAAATTAGGTGGGCTTTTAATCTCCGAAAGAAAGAGAAGTTTTTGTACTTGATTTGTTGAGTTATTAGTTTTTCCTTTCTTTGGAAAAACAAGAAGAAAAAAAACTAACGAGCAACGGAAGAGCATAATTCAACATACAAGTTGTTCTCTGCCATGATTTATCAACTTAATTGCTGATCCGGCAAAATACACCACCACCAAAAGTTCTTGTGTAAAATATCTCTCTCCGGCCTTTATATATCCACTTGATTGACAAAGCCACTCTAAGGATAATTAATGTGGAGCACGTCAAACACGACAAAGGGATCCACCAAACATTGATCTCTCCACACCAGCATCTTTCTACTTTGGTACGATACCATGCAACGTGCATGACACGAAGCATTCAACACATCATCTTTTTGTGAAACAAAATTTTCGTGGTGATCTTCGTAAGTTTTTAATCTCTCCTCAAAACATTTGTAGTCGATTTATTGAGTTATTAGGTTTTTTTAGATAAAAAAAAGAAAATTTGACGATGAAAGGGGAAACATATAAGTCAACATTGATGTCGTCCTCTCTAATTGCTGATATAACAAAATACAAAACCATTA